TGAGTTGTTCACCACGAAGTTATTGATTGGAAGTGGAATAGTAGTGTATACCAAGTTCCTACTGTAGTATGTTGACTATAATGATGCTAGGCATGCGCAGTCCACCAGTATGACGTTGTGCTGTTCGGCGATACATTAAGGTGGCTTTTGACTTGCTATGCTTGTTTGTACTTGTTAACCAGCGAAGTTCGCTGTTGCGAACAATTGAAGATTCTTGCTTAAATAGATGATCTAATTATTAAGCAAGGATCCTCAAATGTGATCTAATTTAGATCTCATATTGGACCAGAAAACGGCCTTTGCGAACAACTCAATGTTTGCATTTGAGAATCCATGTTGCCTGCTTGCAAGACTTCACTATTTCTTCACGTTGCAAGCGTTCTTTGAGATTTGAAAGGACTATGTTTCGCTAAGTCTGAGGATCTCTACAATAGAAATGACATGTAGAGAGGTTCTACTAGGGTGACGAATAGCTATCGGACCTCTGTGCCGCGTCTCACCGATTAACCACAGTGCGTTTCAGATCTTACACGTGTGCTGTGTCAACAATCCTTTAACACTTGGACATCTTCAGTATCGAGTTTTGATACGCATCGCTAATAGTTTGATGCAGAGCTCCTGCAGCTTTGGGCCAAGATATCCAACACGTATCGCTTCATGAGTTCTTCCCCCTTGGTACTGCCAGATGATGCAGACGTTGCCTACATGTACATCATGCAGCCCACGAAGCCTACATGAGCTGCAGATCCAGAAGCCTTGAAGTAATCGAGGGCACTGCGCAGTTGCAAGGCCCCACTGTCGGACACTACTACCTTAATTCACTTCGTTTACCCACCGCAAAGCGTGGCTCGTCTATACTAATGACTGCGGGAACGCGGCCATTTTCACGTTTGCTGCCTCGCAATCCCAACTAACGTAAAATCAGATTGTTTTCTCGCTTAGCATTGGGTCTCACGCTGTTTGCTCCAACCTCGTCAAATGTCATTCACTACCACCGATCATTGCTCCCTACCGCAAACCTCATTCTTCAATCCTCCTCCTTCCGACTAAGCACTTCCACCGCTTCCACATCTCCAGAATGGGCTCCTACCTCTCCATTGTCAACAACACCGACGACCCGTGGACCTGCAAGATCGGCCCTGATGAGGCTGCACTCAAGATCGC